CAATTATAAGCCATATGCCCTGTTTGTCCGCAAGTGAGACATCCTCTGATTCCTCTCTTACACTCGCCATAGTGATGGGTGTTACATCTGCGAAAAAACTGAACACCTGAAATGCTGGAGTTTCCTTGATTCTAAAAACGAGAACCACCAGCGGACCTGCCTCATTTCTGAGGTGTACCGGAGTTAGAACCCCCGCTCGAAGATCTAGAGTTGTTTCCACTTATTTTAAAATTTTGAGCCCTTCTTGGGCCAAGTGACGATCGTCCTCTGTTATTATACCTCTGGACATTCCCACCAACATCCTTATCTTCATCGTCAGGAGCATTCTCCGAATCTTCAATCCGAAGCAAGATCTCAAAGAACTCATAGTAAGTAGCATATGGAGTAGAGGTTGCTATAGTACACCATTTCTTACAAGTTCCCCTCTTAAATAAACGAAGCATCTCTCGGGGATTAGCAGCAGTCTCGGGGCAATAACGAGATAAGTCTGTGAACCTTCTATGATACTCAGTGGCTGACATATTGCCCTGCCTCAGGTCTGTGAACTCATTCTTCTTACTATCTAAATACTCAGGAGGGACAAATCTGGTTTGAAACAATCGTTTGAAAACATCCCAATCTATAACATCTGCATCAGATAAGGATCTCCTTTCATGATCCCACCAAGATTCTGCTCCCAATCGAAAGAAGCATGTCGTTGTCTCGACCCATCTCTCTAGGGAAAGATTACCCTGCCTGTGCATAACTCAAAAAGTCTTCTCCACATGATCGAACCATATCTCTGATTTCTCTGATCCCTCATTACCAAAGAAATCATTAATCTTCAGGCGAGATACAATATCCAGAGTATTCCCCGGGGTAGGAAGAAATGAAGATTGAATAATAGTGGCGATAACCTCACCAAACTGCCCAAAGTCTAGAAAGTTAGTCTCAGCTGGAAAATATGGCTCTCTACGAGGTGGCATGGTTCTGACATAAGAAAACAAGAGTTAAAATACACTGGGAAGTGCATGACTGTCTAAACCGATGCTCTGATACCAAACTACCACACCCCAACCTGGAAAGGTCGAAGCATGCTGGCCATCACCGTGAGGTGACGTAACCATAAGGGTAAGTGATGTAAAAAGTGAATAAGATTAAAACTAATTAGAACTAAACAGGGAAAGAGTGCACAATTCATGGGTTGAACCCACTACAATTATTCAGAGCGTAATAGACAGTGAGACTACAGAAGAGTAGTCAAAGCAACCAAAGTACACTTATTACATAATAGTGATAAGTTCATACGTCTAAAACAGAAGGAAATGTCAGAATTGTCGGGATTCCTCAAGTGCCACAAAAGTACAGCTATCTAAGTCCTGGAGGGGTGAAAAACAAAGTTGAGTGGGTCAGCAAAACAATGCTTATAAGAAAACCTTTATCTTTGAATATACTAACCTCTCGCCATAAAATAAGTATAGTTTCCTTAAACACTATTCAAGTATATAAACGATAATTCGATACTATTAAAGTAGTATAATAATCAGAAATATGCCAAGTAATGATGTATCGAATGCCACAGTAATAATCATGTGATAATCAAGTATAGCTAAGTGCTCATCCATCTAAGTTGATACACAAGTTCGAACAAATGGATTCTGACACGAACAGGATTGGGTATAATCAATATGTTCTAGTACAACGATCACGTGAAGATTGGTGCAAAAGCATATCACATACAAGTCGAATTGCCTAAGTGCAATCTACCCGACATGACTGGCACCTAACTTGGATCCAAGGTGAGTGAACAGTGCGGATGTGAACATACACGTGAAGGACTGGCCCTGGCCCTAGGGCGAGTACTAACACCGGGTGCAGCAAGATGAGCATGTACAAATATGTATGAATGCCATGACAGTAATATCACAACCATATAGCAGCATTTATCACAGTTTATATCACAATAATGATACTAGGCAATATAGGCGTAAAAGTGAAGTAAATACGCATTTACGGAAACTATAATTATATATAGGTATAAAACAACTGCCCATTCACAAATACGTCACTGGGTCGTAGCCCCCGAGCCTAGCTTGCCTCGAAAATCCTAGGGATAAGTTTCCCCTGTATGTGAAATAACTAAAATAGCATTAATTAAAGCACATAACGGAAACCTAAATAAAACCCCCATAGTTTGCTCAAACCTAGGGTTTAAATATGAAATCGATCTACTCGACGACACGAACACGCACGTGAAAACCACGCGCCGACCGGAGGCCGGACGCACCCTCACGCGTCGCCCAAAGGGGCTGCCAAAAAAACCCACGCGCCCCGCGAGTACACTGTACTCGCCTTCCTCGCGAAAATCTGCAGTTTTTGCGGATTTTTGGTCCAACTTCCAGAGCTCCTAACGAGCTTGATTCTCAACCAAATTCACTTCTACAAAAGCCAAATTAAATCTAGGAATGTGGTTTACCGATCTCAATTCATAGAATGTTCGAATATAGTCCGAGTTAATCAGAAATTTGGCCTGAAAGTGGCTAAACGACGAGGTTACAAATTTTCCAGAAACTGAAATTTTCTTCCTAACTTCCAGAATTGATTTCTAACTTGATACTTAACCAAACTTAGTGATTCAAAAGCCATTTTGAAGTTAGGAATGTAGAGAACAAGTTTGTAACTAGAAAAGTCCAGTTGTGGTCGAGGTTGACCAGAAAAATGGCTTGAAAGTGACTAAATGGCCATGGTTCTAGAATGAAAAACGCAGGTCCTCCTTCTTCTCGAGTTTCTGGGTAAAACCACACATCCAAAATACAAACAAAGGATCAATAACAACCCATAGAAATGAAATGAAGGTTCTAAAAGTTTCTCAAAGCTTACCTAAGCCATAAATGGCTTGAAAATCGATATGTCAAACTCGTCGAGTCGACCTTCCGAGTTGGTGAGTTAAAACTCGTCCACACCAGATTTCAAGGACATGGTTGTGATCGTGGGATTGAGATGATCACAATGGTGTAATTTGTTTTTCACGTTTGTGAGTTTTGGTGTGTTTTATGGTTGTTGCAGAGAGGAAGAAGAAGAAGAACTTGGCGTGGGAGAGGGAGAAGAGAGAGAGATGGGATGTTTGTTTTTCTGATAGGGTGTAGGAATAGCTGGGATTGGTGAGTAAATAATGGAGAGGATGCACGGGTAGGATAAAAAGGAATCCCATGGATAAGTTTTTAGATTTCCTACAGTAAAAGGAAATCGAAATTTATCCGAAGTAGATATTTTTTTTCACTTTAAAATCTACGCCTACCCGTACTAGTGTGTACAATTTAAATGCGATAGCGAGAAATAAAAAGGAAAGCTATAAGAATAAGTCCATGTCACTTGCCAATAAGGGCATAATCGTCAATACACATACTCGGGGAGAAATTACATAGGAAAATTAGGGACGGGTCATCACAGTAAAGTGAATAGTATAAGGATTAACTTTTTAGTGTAAAAATGTGATTTTTCGTTAAAGTGAACAGTATCGGAGCTTTTCGTTAAAGTTCCCAATATTTTATAAACAAATTTTAGTAAGAATGCAAGTTAATTTTTGAAAAGCATTTGATGTGTTCCCAACAAGAAGTACATAACTTGTCCTTTTAGCGAAAAACATTTCAAGTACTTTTAAAATCCAAAACCATTTTATCTAAAAATGGTTTCTATCATTTTAAAACAATTGACAAACGAGTCCTTAGTCCTAACAAAAGTTTTTCTTCTTTTCTTTTGCGAAAATTTAATGACAAATTTTTCATTATGCCTGAAACACAAGTGGTATATCACGTGTTATTAAATAAGTGGTAGAAAGTTTTATTTTTTCGAAGTTAATTTTTTAACACAAGTATCTCACCACTTGTATAGTAAGTCGTGATGTACCATTCCGTATTTTGGGCACATTGAAATGAAAATCTCTCAAATTCTATAATACACTATTGTACGAGATATGCCGAACCTAGTAACATAGACTTACAACTAGGCATGACGTTAGAATGTTTGATCATACGATGGATGGTTTGAATGGGTGAGTGACTCATTGTCACCTTTGTAGAGATCAAATTAAGCATAATGCCCCAAGCCCTCGACTTAGTAGGATAGACCCCACCTTTAATAGGTGAGTAGCAAATCACCTTAACGTGAATGACACCGGTGTATTATTTGGTGTATTAAACAATTGGATTTCAACTGTTTTAATCTAGCCATTTAAATACTGATGCAACTCCATACACCACTGGTATATTGTAAAATAAAACCATTTTGTAATAAATGTGATATCAGGTAAAGAAAACTAAATATATAATCTCAAATACAGAGATAAATGTTTTTATTCACTCAAAGTTACAAATTTTTGCGTTTTGAAGGTAGTTTTGTTTGGTTAATATTCTTCATTCATTCTGTGAATAATGATGATGGGTTTTGTTGATCTGACGTAGTGATGCAGATTGCAGCCATCAGATTTCAATGAACAAATGGACTGATAATGTTATAGTATTAAGCAGTTACTCCATTAATTAAAACGTGGGTCCTTCCCTTCCCACCGAATCAAATCCTACCGATTTATTGCATTCTAATGACCCCTCTTGGTGCCTGCACAAGTTTTCCTCAAAACAATCATGACCGTTCAATTATATCCTAACCATTGTTTGTGTAGGATGCACTAACATCATTGTATTTTCTTTCTATGTGCGCAGATACAAGTTCAGATTATAACTTTGGACAACTCTAGTTTGGGCACAGTTCTAATTTGATACCTGTAGTTTCGACATCCACATTTTTTATGATTTGTTCAACGAAATAAATACGTTTGGGTCACAAGTAAGGTGTTTCCACACTTACAAAATGTTCATGTTCCTGTCACATTTGTCACTTGTGTGCTAATTTTGTCGAAAACTTTGACCAAACTACCGAAACAAGAACCACCAAGTTAGCCTAATTGCAAATGTTAACTAGGTATGAAAAGTGTCTGCTGGGAATCATGGCATCTTAGAAAAGTACTATTGAAGTTGGTGCGGAGTAAATGTGAGATACAAGCAACATAGGGGGACAAGATTCTGCATATTATTCTGCACAAGTAACCTCAGGAGTTAAGTGTCCTTTTACACACTTGAATCATAAATCATTTGCATCCAAACATAAATTTTCCCCATTAAGTTGTAAATTCTTTGCTGAAACAAAATCAAAATATAGATAGTTAGGGCGTTGTTAAGTTCGTTAATATATGATGTTTCTTTCTTTGCACTCAAATTCGAATCCTGATCCCCTAGTTTGGTTACTCAAAACATGTCGAAATTGTGTTACATCTGAATGCTAACATGTCTAGTTTCTTTACCTTGACACAATGATAATGTTGAACTTGAAGATCTATTACCATATTTGACACTTACTTTATATTCACCCAAGAAACCATAGAAGCTGTAAGATCCATGCTCATCTGTCTGCCCCTCTATCTCCCCAGTTTGCCATTCTTTCAAGAGCTTGTCCACCACATCACCAGCAGGTAGGTTTTGGAGATTATTGTCCGTGAGGCACATTTGGTAGCACCCATTAGGATGCATTGCAGTCCAAAGCATTATCCCATTCACAGATGGATGCGAAAAGCCTTCTCAAAACTTGTTCAAGATAAATTGCCTATGGATAACAACAAAAAATGTAGCAGGTTAGTCCGGGAGTAAAAATTTACCTGGGATTGTTCCTATCACGTGGCAAGTGTTTCACTTAAATCCTGAACATTAAAGTTGAACACATGCCATTTTGTAACTAGGATAGTGGTCAGAACAACTCCACATAAGGTTTTTGTGCCCTAAATGTAGAGTAAAACTTGAGTAACTGTATCCGACCACGTAATTTGTAGAGTACTATCACAAAAGTATAAGGTCCACTGTACTTTAGTCACACTCAACCCCACACATATCCCACATGATATGAGAGTTGTCCTAAATCAGATACTGTTACCCTAGTTTCCGTAGTTTCTATATGTAACAACTTATTTACCTGTGTTTCTTTGTCTAGGGTGCTGCTGATATCAACCTCCGTAAGCCAAATGGGAAGGCCTAATGTGGCCAACTTGTCAAGGATTGCTCTCATTAGAGGGAGGTTTGGTACTGTAAAATGACCCTCCAGTCCAATCCCATCCATCAATGCTCCACCATGCCTAAGCTCTCTCAACCTTGAAATGTAGGAATCAACGGTCGAATTCACATCACTGCAAGTCTCCACCACATTAAAATCATTCATGAAAAGGGTTGCCAAAGGGTCAGATTTGTGTGCCGTCTCAAAGAAATGCAATGTGGCGTTGGGGCCAAGCTTCTGCTCGTAGAAATCAAAGTGAAGCATTTCGTTGCTGACGTCCCAATGGACGAACTCTTCTCTGTACTTGCTCATTAGGCTTTGGATTCTGGAGTTTACGGCAGATTGCAGGTCGCTGCCGGTGAGGTTTCGAACCCATTGCGGCGTGTATTTGGGGTCTTCCCAGAATATGTTGTGACCTCTAGCAATGACTTGGTTGGCGCGCACAAATTGCAGCATTTGATCTGCAATGGTGTAGTTGGTTTTGCCCTGTTCTGGCTCCGTCGCGTACCACTTGAGTTCGTTCTCAAACACCGCTGCATTGAATCGTTTTGCGAACCAATCCTGGATTGAAAATTGTTCTCTTAGCTAGCATTTTCAATGTGAAGATGATGCATATAAAATTTGTTATTGCATATAACGCACAATTGAAGTAGAAGATTCGATTTACCAGAAAAATTTATGTTCCTGTCATGTGATAATGTTGGGTGACAAAATAGTCTAGTTAAATAACTGACACTAGTTTTTGCATATACAAAGGACTATTCTTTCAAGTTTAAAGGTCAATTGTAAGTTAAAAACTTATGTGGAGTTGTTCTTATTACATAACAGTGCTGAGTGTCAGACTGATCTATTTAAAAGATAAAATTGTTTAAATTTGAAGATCTATATTATTTCTTAAACACTTATCATCTTTTAAGTGTTTAGTCGCTCAATAATATCACACAACAATATGTCCACATCATGTGTCAATGTTGAGTGTAAGAACAATCCATTTAAAATATAAAATTGTTTAAATTTTACCATCAATGTTATTTCTTAAACACATGTCATTTTTTAACTGAACTGTTCAGTCGCTCAATAATATCACACAATAACATGTCAACATCATCTGCCAAGTTGAGTGTAACAATCCATTCAAAAGATAAAATTGTTTAAATTTGACAATCAATATTATTTCTTAAATAAATGTCATATTTAAACTAAATTGTTCAGTCGCTTAATAGTATCACACAAGAACACGTCCACATAAGTCTTATATGAGTACATATGGTCTATGAACTGCATACTAACCTGATAGGGCAAATTGCCTAGAATGGTCTTTGCAATTGCAGATCCAAATGGGAAATCTTTGGAGACTTGCTCTATGTCAATTTCCAATCCTTGCAGCCTCTTTCCTTGCTTATCTGAGACATGAACCGTCACGGCACGCTTCCGTTTCTATTGATAAACAAAGAAAATAATTACACAAAATGAAATTTCTGGGGAGTTATACATTTGTGCGTTGATAAGACCATTCACTATTTTTTGAAGCTTGATCTCTCCCCGGGTGAACCAAATTAACAACTTCCGTAGTTAACTTAATCAAAGATCCTACTCAAATGAAAATATATATACTTACAGTGTTGATCATATATTGCTGATACGTGCTCCATTGTTGAACACTAAATGGCTGCAAAGAAGAGCTGGTAATTTCAATGTTGACATCTCTGTCATCTGCATTCTGTATACAAATATACAATCAAAACAAAAGTATTAAAAATTGAAATTTGAAACCTTTTTGGGGGAGTAAAAGATTAGTGAAAATATGAAAATTACCTGAAAGAATAAGGTGGATAATTGGGATGGTGAGTTTAGGACAAAGCCACCCTTGAGAAATGACCAGCATCCATGCTTAGCCAAAACAGTTCCTACACACTTATTTGTTTCATTTTCTGTCTTTAGGCTTGCCCTTATGAGAGCTGAGCCTGCACCCTCTATCTTGACCCAACCTGTTAGAGTAAAGCCCAAATCATATGAGCCTAATGTCATATCCATAAGTGACTAAAGTTCTAAGTCTCTAATTATTACAGTGCAGTCACACGTGTGTGAGTGATTTTGTTTTCTTTATACAAGGAATATTAGGGAAAATGATATTTAAATACAAATCTAGAGTGCAAAATTCTAACTAAGTGAGCTATAAGTGACCTCAGACTTTCAGCTCTAGTTTATGCAAGTTCAAGAATCAGGGCTACTTAAGAAATGGCATTGATCATCAAATTTATGCAATGTTATCTTTTAATGAATTTTTATAATATTCAACGCTGTCGCCTGACAAGAACAACCCTGCATAAGTTTTTAACATACAATTGACCTAGCTAAGCTTATACAATATTACTAAATAGATTGGACAAGATAAACATTACAACAATCCGTTGTAGTCTAGTTGGTCAGGATACTCGGCTCTCACCCGAGAGACCCGGGTTCAAGTCCCGGCAACGGAATTGGTTTTTTGTTTTTCAACGCCAAATTTTTTTACCTTAAACACTAAACCAAAATTACCGCACCACTAATTCCCAACCCAGCATCCAACAACAGAAAAAATAATTAACCAGAAGGGTAAAAAGTTGAGAAACCCAACTGGAGAAACAGTAAATGGTGCCCTGTGTGAGATTGTGCAGTATGAACGATGTTGAATAAACTCCACTACTTGCAGAGTTTCCCAACCGATCAACGATGATCCCACCGCCGTACAGAGGCTCCTCCGGCTGCAATTTACACTGCCAAAACAAACAAATTGGTCTCATCTGGGTGAAACAAAGCGAAAAACTTCCAATATATTTTGTTCTCATTTAGTTTTTACCTCAGTGTAAGCAGTAGAATCATAAAGTGGGCCCTCTGCAATGTGTGAAAACAGTAAAAGGGAAGGATTAGTAGCGTAAAAATTAGACATGTCTGCATTGTAGAAAAAAGCCAGAAGAAATGAGAGGAGAAAGGGGGAAGCAGAGAGAACCAAATGAAACAACACCCATGAGGAGAAACAAGAACAATAGGAAGCTTGAAGTAATATTTGTGCCTTCCATTTTTGGCTCGGAGGTCGGGAGGCTTGGAGCTGTTTTATGCTCTACTACTTAAAATATGAGAATGGTTTTTATAACAACACTGCTACACTCATTTCCGAGCTTTTCTTGCTGATTACAGTTTGGCGTTTATATGAAAAATGACTCACCAAAACGAAAAAGTACGTTTAAACACCAATTAAATTGTAATTAGTAGGAATGCAACAATATCTACTTCCCAAAGAAGCAGCCAAATATATTTGTTTATAAAATGCAATATATGAAGCTTGAGGTTATGGGTTATAAGTTATATGAAAGAAAGTGTATATATTGGACCATTACCTAAAGAAATAGACCCAATATAATGGAAGGGGAGGAGGTAGAGATCACAAGGGTTCCAGTGGAAGCAGGGGTACCGAGTGGTCCGTGGCCTGGCCACATGTTTGTGTGAGCGTGGAGCTTCATGTCATGCCCATTAATTCATGGACACATCTAACACTCCAACCGTGAATTCATTCTTTTTTGTGTGGGGCTGAGAACATGGTTTTGTTGCCGTAACACCAACATGTAATGTTAGTGACCGATTCACGAGTTTTTCGGTATGAGAACCAAATATATAAAACCTTCGTGACACTTTGGCTACTCACTCTACATTAGTGTCCTTAAGGTATTTTTATTTCAAGCTTCTCATTTGCATCGTCGTCATGCTGAAGGAGTAATTTTATACAGTAACTCGTGTGTATATTTTCTGGCGCGTAGTGTTATCAATTTACTCAAGATATATTATGTTTTCATGTATTAATGCAACAACCTAAAATATAAACTCATCACCCAATCCTTATTACAACACGGAGATGAGTAATATCATATCACGTTAAAGGTGACACTCAAAGTTTTTTTCCATGTTTAGTCTGTATAAGTTCATGTTTAATATAACATTAATTATTGAGGGGATTAGACTTGGCAACCAACTGCGTAGTAATTGATTGGAATTGTGGAATTATTAGTAGCAACTATGTACTTAGTTCAGGAAAAAAAACGCTTTATGTCATTGCTAGCAGCTTAGCCTAAATGAAAATTACAAAACAAGGGTTTGGCTAATTATCTGTGCCAATTGGGAATGGAATGAAAGGGTCCAAAATTCTTATATTAATATTAACCCAACACAAAGTAATCAAAAGGATTACCAATGTAATTCCTTGAAGAACAGGTCTGGAATCTACCAGAAAATTGAGAGAAATCCTAAGGGGGTGTTATTTAATTGATAATCTTGAATGATTACAAATGTTACTTCCAAAGACGTAAATAATGATTACAAACGTTTGGAACAACTCAAAGGATTTCTAGGAGTTAAAACAACATTAATCGGACGGCAAATGAAGAGTTCGATTTTTATTACTTAAGTTTAAATGCTGTTTTGTAGGCTGAAATGATCCCGGATGATCAAAATCCATCGTACATCATGGAGAAGCCATGAGTTGGACTCGTGGCATCATTCCCCTTCCAAAAAGGTATAAGGGGCCCAAATTGGAGCTTACACGCGAAATTTGCAAATTCCCACTACGTCCTTTTGTCTTTTTATGGTCCTTTTCTTCTTCAGTTAATTCTGCCATTTGTACTATATTAGAATATTGACCTGTATGGGAAAATGTACACCAAATCCAAAATTGTTATATGGAAAGGATGCACCCTCATTAAATCAGGAGAGATTCTCTCATGGAACTAAATTTTAGTTTTATTGGCATCGTCGTTCAATAAACAATTATTATATGTTCGAAAATGCGTTATTCATCCCATGAGAGATTATTACTGTCATGTGATGAAATTGTGACATGAGAGAATCTCTCGATTAAAAGAGGGGATTTTGACTCTTGAGGGACCACAAAGAAAGGACTAGTGGCGATTAAGGTTCCATTTATGGCGGGATGCATGCTTTGGCTGCAAGTCTTGTAATATGTCTGTTTTTGTGTGTTTATGCAGAAAGGCTTCATGGGTTGATGGCTTCGTAGTGTCACGCGTGCGGAACATATATGAGGAAACCATGGACATAAATGCTATTTTACTCATGTTAGATAATTACATCTTTCTACTTGCTGTCTGACCAAGTCACTTAGGTGGTCCTCTTTGTATTGTGGGTGTGCTCTTCTGGAAGAAGAATGTATGTGAGTGTCTTTCCACCTTTCAATTTTTATCACATATAGAGCAGTTAAATTTAGTAATGTATGTTGTTGTAAACCAAAATAGAAGGGAACGAAGTTATCCGAAAAATGTAAAGCATTGAGTGATGAATGATTCTTGAGATGAGTCGCGGACTAAGTTGCTCTCTTTAAGACGTTTTGCGATTCTACCCAAAGTATGCAAGCAATTTACAAACACCACATCGTCCCCATGATAAAACAGCCCAGAAACCTTTTTTTAATAAGGTTCTTTCTTGCACAATGGAAGAACCTTCAAACTTGCACCCTTTCGATATGTTGCCATCAAAACTTAATTTCAAAAAATATGTATAAACTTATAGTATTTTGTATTCTTCAACATTGATACTGAGGACTTTTTTTTTTAGTACGTCAATATTTGACACTAAAAAGAGAGGGAGTTCGGTTAAGCCACACAATAGGCATGATACTCAAGACTTATATATATACAGGTTGCTTAAGGGGAGGGATCCCCATTTTTTAATTTTTTTGAAAAAATGGGGACATGCTCCCCACTGTTAGATTGACTTTAATGAAATTGTGTGGTTGAGATTAAAACACAAGCCACACAATCTCAACCACACAATTTCATTAAAGTTAAATCCAACGGTGGGAATCCCTCCCCTTTGGAAACCCATACTGATAAAAAAATGTATCCATAAACCAAAGATCCAATTAAAACAAAATTTAAAGACCAATACTCTAATTTTATTTACATTAAATATCAAACGAAAAATTATATTTTCATCTTAATTATATGGTTCAAATTCGTCTTTGGTGATAATCGAACTTAAAATCTCTTACTTACAAGTGAAGATGAATACTACTAGACTATAATACTAAATGACAAGTTTTAGTATTAATTGAAAAGGTTTTCACCTCAATTGAAATTAGTTAAAGTAGACGATGACTTGCCACTAAAGCCATAATTAATTTTAGGGTAAATTACATAATACCCTATCAGGTTTGAGGTCTATTACAACCTCATAAAACATCTTTAAAACATTTCACTTTTATACCTCACCTACTATTTTATTTCAATATAGTACTTCCATTACATTTTCCATCCATTGATCCGTTAAGACCTGACGTGGCTGCCACATTTGTACCACGAAACCTAAATCTTCTCAACAAACAAATAAACAAAAAAAAAAAAAAAAAAACAAAACTGAAAAACATAGAACCCACCCCACCTTTCCCGCAACCCCTCCCCCACCCATATTCTCCCTCCCGAGCCTCCACTCTCTCAATTTACATTTATAAATCCGAAATTTTCAACACCCAATGAAACCAAACAATAAAAAACGAAAAAGAAAATCCCAAAAACACAAAGGCATCACAAAGCGAGACTGACATAAGTTTGCTTAACCTGGAAGAAAGTCCTGCTTAACCTGGAAGCAAGTCCTTCTAAGTAGAAAAAGCTTGCTGGAGAACCTTGGTGATGCCCAGCATCCGCCCCCCCCCCCCCCCCCCCCCCAATTCTTCTCAGCTGCAGCCGAAACCCTACCCAAGTACTGCCCAATTAGATCCTCATAAGCCACAATCGACGGATCCAGAGGCACATCCTGGAAACCCCTGGCTGTCGCCGACCCTCCACCACCGGACAACGACAACACCTCTAAGTGCGACACAGCCGATTCCAGCCTCTGTATCAGCTTCTCCTCCATGGCCACAAACCTCAACCGCACTCTCTCTTCCACACTCTGTGTATTTCTCTCTCTACGGTTAGATTAGATACGATTGTTTGGTGCTTTTTTCTTTATTTTTGGAATTGTTTTGGGATTTTTCTTATTTTCTGACGTCGAGATCCAACCCCAGGACCTTTCCACCCCTGTCGTCTCTAGCGTTAGCTAGGGCAGCGACGAGTACTTCTCCCGAATCAGCCTCAGGACTCCGGCGAAGTCGTTCTACATGGTGCTCAACACCGGCAGCGACGTCAACCGGCTCCAGTGCAGCCCCTGCTCCAATTGCTACCAGTAATCTGACCCGGTTTTCAACCCGGTCGGATCTTCCACCTACAGCCATCTTTCGGGCTCGATAAATCGAGTTGGGATGTGGACACGATAACGAGGGATTAGGTGAAGAGAGTGGAGAAGAGGGAGGTGGTTAGGAGGCTCGGCTTAGGAGGTAGAAGAGGTGTGGGGAAGGGTTACGGGGAAGGTGGGGTGGGTTTTACGGTTTTCATTTTTTTGTTTTTTTTTTTTTTTGTTGAGAAGATTCAGGTTTTTTTTCAAAAAAAATTTAAATTTTTTTGCCACGTGATGCAAATGTGGCAGCCACGTCAGCTCTTAACGGATTAATAGATGGAAAATGTAACGGATGTACTATATTGAAATAAAATAGTAGGTGAGGTATGAAGGTGAAATGTTTTAAAGATGTTGTATGAGATTGTAATAGATCTCAAACAAAAAAGAGTATTATGTAATTTACCCTTAATTTTATTTTTCAACTTTCATAAATATCATGTTCTATACCAAACTATCATTTACATATTGTGTGACTTGATCAACAATCACTTGGTCCGCTCTTTGTGGTACACATCTAGCCGAATTATCCAAACCCACGAAACAAACCGTGAAATTTGAATCCATGTCATTTTAATTACATTTGTTATAACATAAGTTGGAGCAGTTATGTTTTTATTTAATTAATTATATATAAATATTTACTTATGATTTGTTTTATTAGAAACATAAAATATATATAACTGTCATTAGGAGTAATTTCCATTCTTAATTATATAGGAGATGTGAGGAAGTTTCTTACTTCAACAAATTTGAGATGCCTTCTCTGTGTGTATAGAGAAGAAGATCACGTCCACCTCCATATATAATCTATCCGTTTTGATTTTTACATTTTGGTTTATTCAGGATTTCTAGCCCCTAATATCTTAATCCTTCAACGTCTATTTCTTTTACTTTATACATACATACATACATACATACATACATACATATATATATATATATATAGGAATTGCTTAAGGGGAGGGATTCCCATTTTTTCAAAAAAATGGGGACACGCTCCCCACCGTTGGATTTAACTTTAATGAAATTGTGTGGTTG